CCAGAGGGGAAAAAAAATAAAACGGATTTCATAGTGCCCTATGAGCTGGAGGTTTACCCACATCACTAAATGCAGTACTGTAGTGTAAACACACAAGAAAAACACGTACTGTTGCTTTAAATCCTAGTTCTTGCTTTAGGCGACCCATCCCCCCATTTCTCATAGACCCCCCCACAATCTCTCTCTCTCTCTCTCTCTCTCTTAGTGTATTCCTCTCTCTCTCGTCCAGCCCCCCACCCATGCAGCACAGCTTGCATCCATATAACAGCCGTATTTCCCTCTGGATGATCCGCTCTACAGCGCTGATGGACTACTAGCCTATACGGTGGCCATTTCAGTCCAGAGAGGAATTCCAGTCCACCCTCCCCCCCGTCCAGCCAGAAACACACACACACACACACACACACAGAGATGTGAGGAAAGCAGACTCACACCCCACCGTTCAAACACACAAAACACAAGCAGCAAACGGAGCATCGGGGTAATTTGTTTCCACCAATAGAAGGCTGTTTAAGTGCCACACCGCCCTGCTTTTCTTTTTACGGCACCGTCGTCCGCTATTACACAACACACACACACACACACACACACATCAGGCTTTACGAGCCCTCGCAGCATCGCTGAAGCAGTCAATGGCAGAAACACATTTCACCTTCAATTCAGACGGAGAATTGAAGAAACCGAGGGACTGTTTGCAGTGTGATGTTTTCACGACAATTAAACCGTTCTCATGATTCTCATGATTGTAATGCAAAAAAATTAAAATAAATAAAATTTATCACGGCACATTTTAGCTTGAAATCAGAAGGAAGAATTAAGAAATACTTTGCATAAAGAAAATTAAGGGATATTACGGGTTTTTTTGCATTGTGACTATTTTTATGACAATTTTCTTTAAATTCCCATGATTATAATGCAAAAAAAGTATCATGTGCATTAATTTCATCGGGGACACGTGCTTGAAACTAGAAGGACGGATTGAGAAATTATATTTTGCATTATTAAAATGAAGGGATATTTGAATTTTTTGCACTGACTTTATTTTCATGATCATTAAATAACATTTTCTCAACTTTCTCTTGATTGCAATGCAAAAAAAAAAGAGCATAACACGCATTGTCACACTTTAGCTTGAAACCAGATTTAAGAATTAAGAAGTTAAATTTTGCATTAAGAAAATTAAGGGATATTAAGTTTGTTTTCCATTGTGACATTATTTTCATAATAAAGCTTTCACATGACTTTAACAAAAAAACAAAAGTGTCATTTTCTTCATTATAATAATAGGATAATGAAAATCATCCTATCACCACACAATTTCTAAATAATAATAATTCTATAATAATAATAAATAATTCTATACTAAATATTGTAGAAACCTAATTTGCTGTAAAGTTGCTTTGCAACAATTTGTATCGTGAAAAGCGCTGTACAAATAAACTTGAATTGAATTGAAAAAAAAAAAATATATATATATATATATAATAAAAAAGAGAAATAAAATATTAAGAGAAAAATCATAACCCATAAAAAAGTTTTTAATTCAAATAAACAAATACATAAATAAATAAAGCAGCTAAATCTGCAGATATTATGTTACTTTTATGGAGAAGTAAGATAATATTTCAAGATAATAATCTCAAAATTAAACTTTACAAGAGTATGAAATAACAAGCAAACTTGTCCAATTATCTATCAGACAAGCAAATTAAGTTTTTAAACTTAAAATATCTGTGCTGTTTATCACAGATTGTACTGTTTTTTAAAATAAAACACACTTCTAAATGTACACTCAACCTTTTTAATGTCGAGTGAAGAGCAACAGCAAAACAAACCCTCACTGACTGTAAAGCTGTTTAATATCTGAACGCTGTGATTGTGTGATTTAAAGACTACTGTACACAGCATGCAGTGAGTCTTCAGTCAAGGACACTTTTGACTTTTGTAAAATCTTAAAATGTTTGGTCAGTATCACATATGATTGCTTTCTAAATCCTCGAGAGGAAAACCTCTTTAAAACTCTTGAAGAGATTCTTTGTTATAAAAATACTAAAAGAAAGGAAGAAAGAAAGAATAAAAGAATACTAAATTAATCGAATATAATTTCCTGATGTTACTACTGTTTATAAATATTTTACAAGGGCAGGTAAACTATTTGTGTGTGTGTGTGTGTGTGTGTGTGTGTGTGTGTGTGTGTGTGTGTGTGTGTGTGAGTGAGTGAGTGAGTGAGTGAGTGAGTGAGTGAGTGAATGAGTGTGTGTGTGAGTGAGTGTGTGAATGAGTGAGTTTTTGAGTCTTAAGCTCACCAAGTCTGCTTTTATTTGATAAAAATATAGCAGAATTAGCCTATTAAAATAAAATCATTTATTTAAAAAACTGAAAACTGTTTTGTATATGAATATAATGTATTTTCATCAGCATACTGGTATGGTTATTCAATTAACTAAAACTAAAATGAAAAGCATTAAAATGTTACTTGAATTAAAATAAAAGTTAACTGAAATAATATAATATAATATTTTAAAAACATATTTTATTGCAATGTTAACATAGATAGACAGACAGACAGATCTAGATAGATAGATAGATAGATAGATAGATAGATAGATAGAAGAAATGGAATTACAGGAATAAAATAAAAAGATTTCAGCTTCTGAAAAATTATTTAAACCAGAACTGGAACAATTTATTGTAGTTATTAGTGATATTAGTGATAGTGATAAGATTACAAAAGTGTGGCTCTCTGAATCTTTCAGCTAAATAATCAGAAAAAAAGATCTGTGTCTCTGTCATGAATTTATATTTAAAAACATTAGTTTTAAATTAAGTTACGACGCTTTTAAGTAAGCAAAGAAAGTCACATTTCTTGTAAAATTTGTTTTATCAGACTTTTAGTTTTCTAGCTTTTGCAAATTATGTGTCAAAATATATTGTGGGTAATTACTGTTGACACCGAACTGTTTCCACACACTGAATCACTGTAACAAACGTAAAGCAGTTATTTTGAAAATTATATTGTTGTGAGAAATCAGATCCACGTGTCACGGCGAAGAAGAAGACAAACCTCAGGGATTTAATATGAGCAGAAACACTAAGCACTGTAAATATGACTGCTTTCAGAGCGTCTGAGGCATGTTTCATACATCTGAAGAGTTTTTAGGGCTTGTACAGACGGTAATTTCTCACACTGACAGCAGTGCTGTGCTTTTAAAATCACAGCGGCCGGCAGAGATTGAGAGACGAGAGACGCTCCAGAACTCTGCTAAGCAGCTCTGCCAAACAGCACTTAACCCAATAACTAATATGACATATGGGTTATTACGACCGGCCTTATGATTCGTCACACAGAGATCACATTGATCACTCTGGATGATCAGCTGTGATGTGATGAGACTCTGGACGATGAGAAAAAACTGCATCACATTCACTGTAAAACAGAGCAGTTCTTCACTAGAACACACTTCTTTAAATAAACAGTAAACAGTGTTTCACAGATGAAGAGCAGTTAATCATAAATAGTCTATTTATGATCAACGGCTCTTCGTCTGTCAAATATTGTACACTACCGGTCAAAAGTTATATAATATAATAAAATTTTATTTCAGCTAACTGCCAAGGCAACATTTCAAATTTTCCATTTGTTTAAACTGATGTACTACAATAATTTACACTGGAATACTAAAAACTATCTATACATTAAGAGTCTCGTCGCGTCACAGCTGATCATCCAGAGTCTCGTTGCGTCACAGCTGATCATCCAGAGTCTCGTCACTTCACAGCTGATCGTCCAGAGTTTCGTCACGTCACAGCTGATCTTCCAGAGTCTCGTCACTTCACAGCTGATCGTCCAGAGTTTCGTCACGTCACAGCTGATCATCCAGAGTATCGTCACGTCACAATGGATCGTCCAGAGTCTCGTCACTTCACAGCTGATCGTCCAGAGTCTTGTCACATCACAGCTGATCATCCAGAGCCTCGTCACTTCACAGCTGATCGTCCAGAGTTTCGTCACGTCACAGCTGATCGTCCAGAGTCTCATCACATCACAGCTGATCATCCAGAGTATCGTCACGTCACAATGGATCGTCCAGAGTCTTGTCACGTCTCAACTGATCTTCCAGAGTCTCGTCGCGTTTCAGCTGATCTTCCAGAGTCTCGTCACGTCACAGCGAATCGTCCAGTGTCTCGTCCAGAGCCTCGTCACGTCTCAGCTGATCTTCCAGAGTGTCGTAACATCACAGCTGCTCGTCCAGAGTCTCGTCACTTCACAGCTGATCGTCCAGAGTC